CTGACTGCGGCTTGTTCTATAGTCTGTGCCTATATCCTCGATCTCTGCTTTTAGGCGTCTAGAACCGTTGCGTTTGACTTTCGAATAATTTAACATTGTTAGGTGGATTCAAGTGACGCTCACGCGATGCTCGAGATCCATATTTGCGACCTTGTGCCGCTGGGGCTTTCGCGCAGCGTTCTCCATGGTAAAAAAATGAGGTCCGTGTTCTCTTGTTGCTGTAGTAACAGCCATTAATACGCGAGCATTAGCCAGCGAGTAGCAGCAGCAACAGCAGCCAACCAGTAGCTCAGTCAGCCAGCAGGAGCACGAGCAGCAGGCAGCAGCAGCAGCAGCGGTCGTGGCGCAGCAACAGCTAACAGCAGTAGTAATAGTAGTTAGTAGCAACTGAAACATCTATGCAGCAGTAGTAGTAGAAGGCAGGCAGCCAGCGTAGCCAACGGTAACAGCAGCAACAGCAGCAATAGCCAGCAGTAGTAGCAGCCAATGAGCAACACTAGCAGTAGTAGTAGTAGCAGGAGCAGTAGCCGCAGCGGCAGCGCCGCAGCAAGCAGTAGCCAGCCAAGCAGCAGAAGCAAGTAGCGCAGCCAGCAGCAGTGGCAGCAGCAGCAGTCGTCCGGTAGCAGCCAACAGCAGCAGTCGTGGCCAGCAGCAACAGTAGTAGCAGTAGCCAGTAAGCAGCAAGCAACAGCCAGCAGCAGTAGTAGCGTGCTAATGACGCTGCCTATTGGGAATGCGCCTACGACGTCGCCCGCGTGATTTGTTCTGCTCACATCTCATTGCCATGACGTACGGCCAGACGACGACTCTTTGCAAATGATTCGCCCTTGCATGTTTTCTCTTCCTCTGCGAATAGCAATCGTGCATTGTTAAGCTCGAGCAATGCGCGGAAGATCCTGTATATATATAGTATATATTATTATTATATATATATATATATAAGATATATATAATGCGTGTGTGGTGTACTGTGTATTGTGCGCTGCGCGTGTGTATGTTGGTTGCCGAGGTGACCGTGTGGTGTGCTGTGTGTATGGGCTGTGTGTGGGCCGCGAGGGCGTATGTTGTATATGTATATGCGCGCGTGGAAAGGTTGGTATATATATATATAT